TCTCAAAAGATCATATACTGTTTATTCCATTCGTATAACATCCTCAAATTGATGAAGGTATAGAAATATAGAATGGATTAGAGGTTATTAGGGCTTAGGATGATAGATTTTAGAGAGTAGGCGTGGCTGTAAAGGGGTAATGGAGGAGTTCTTTGTGGTAATTGAATAGTTTTGTATTTTAAGTCAGTGTTGGTTATTAAAATCTACACGTGTGATAATATCAACTATACATTTTATATATGTATGGAATATAGAACTATAGGCAAGCATTGTGTCAATGCCAATTTCTTCGTTTTAATATTGTGCTATAATTATGTAAGATGTTACCAGCTGGGTAAACTTGAATAAAGCTATAAAGGAACTCTTTGTATTATCTTTGCAAATTTCTCTCTATCTGTAATTATTTCAAACTAAAGTTTTTAGAGCTAATGAATGAAGAAACTATACACACGAAAATAATCAACAGAAGGCTGGCGAAATATATTGACATCAGACTGAGCTGGCTTTAAAACAGAAAAACATGTAATAAAATTAAAACCTTATAAACAATGTCAAATTAAACAATTGACTCAGAATCTGTATCAATTCTGGATATGTATAAACCAAAGAACATAGCCTCAAAATATGTAAAACAGAAACCATCAGACTTACAAGAAGAAACTGATAAGTTGACAATCACTGTTATATTACAGAATTTTAACATAATTCCTTTCAGTAGTTGCTAGATGAAGCAAACCAATACTAAAGATAGCGAGAAATTAAACAACATAGCAAGGTTTGTATGTAATGCACGTAAAATAAGATGCTGAACAAAAAAAACCATGTAAAATAAGATGCTGAACAAAAAAGAGTACATATTCATTCTAGAGTAAACAGAACATTAAAAAAAATAAACACATACTATAACACAAAGCAAATATTACCGAAGAATCATTTATGTGGACTTCAAGCTGAGAATGGTCAGTCAGAAGCTTAAGGAGATACTGACAGCCAACTGCAATTTAATGGACACTCACCAGGACGTGATATTTGGTCTTCTCTACTGGCTCTATACTCTCTCCCTATATGAACACATCTATTGCCATGATTTTAAACACCAAATATGTACTGATGACTCCCAAATTTATGTGTTTAGCCATGATGGACTCTATGATCTCCTGACTCGTGTAGTGATCTAATTGGCTACTCGTTATCATCACTTGAATGACTAACAGGCTTTGTCTATTGAACATGCTCAAAACATAATCCTGGACTTTTCTCTCTAAATCTTCTTGTATCTCAATAAATGCCACCATTATGAAGCTAATTGCTCAAGCTAAAAACTTATTAATTATCCTTGATTCCTCCATCCAATCTATCAGCAAGTCCAGTATGTCCAGTTCCTAAATACATTCCAAAACCATCCACTTTACCTCCACTGGGCCAACATTATATCTACACACCTTCATCTCTCACCTGCAGTAGCCTCCTAACCGGTTGTTCTTCTTTCACTACTGACCTTTACAGTCTATTCATTACCCAGTTGCTAGTGTAAAATATTTTAACTGTTAATCAGATCATGTTACTCACGTGCTGTAAACTTTGTAAGAGCCTTCCGCTACACTAATAATAACATCCACACTTGCTACCCCAGACTTCAAGGCACATTCATGATCTGGCCTCTACATATCACTGTAGTCTTATATCATGGCCTCACCTCAAATGTTGCATTCCCAAAGAAGCCTTTTATTTTCTTCTTGTTTAAGGTAGTACTCTCTACTTACAGCCACTCTTTATCACAGTACCCTGGTTAAATTCCTCATAGCATTTACTATGATATGAAAGTAGTACACACCCACACACACTCACCTCTCACTCCCACTAAATTTCTTGTCCTGTGATACCATGCATCTTGTCCACTTCACTTTAACAAGCCACTCAGAAACTCCAAACACTACTATCCCTGGGAGTGGGCCCAAATTTATACAACTACAAACTAGAATTTGTTCATATACCTGAACATTCAATATAAAATTTAGCAAATTCTGTTCAGGCTACAAAACTTATTACAAAAAAGATGAAAATATCTTAACTGCTAAATATGCACACCTTGCACACACCATTGATAAAATAAGAGTGATCTGCTTGTCTGTAATATTGAGGTTTTCATAATGAAAGGTGTTTCAATTTTCTCAAAACATGAAGAAGCACTTACTGGGATTTTTGACTATACATAAATGGAAGTAGATAGCATCCTCAGACACATGTCTACAAGAGGGCTATTATTGTTGCCAGTCACAGAAAATATATTAAACTGTTGGCCTGCCATAAAATCATATTTTCAAAACATGAGATAAGAATGTCATTCTCTTATTTGAAAATATATTGAAGATGGGAAAGAAGAAAATAATTAGAGTAAAACAGAATTTATGCTATTCCTCTAAAACTGAAAATCTTTAAAGAATCTTTAAGGATTTCGTCGAAAAAGCTGGAGACTTGTTGAAGTTGTAAAGACAGATTTTAAAATAATTGGCAATATACTATTGCAATAGGGAAAATCATCCAGCATAAACTGAACACAGCTTCAATTTGTGGAGAGGTACCTAGGTATTATGAAGAAAAAAATGAAAGGAGAGAGGAAATAGTAAGAACTTGAGCAGAGTACAGGAAATGGAAAATTATAAAAAGCAAGAAGGGAGGCTTGAGGTGCCTACTGAAGCAAATATATCTTAGATCACAAGTCCTTTCAAATATCTGAAAAGCCTTCCCAAGGATGATGGTTACAAAAAAGCTGAGACTGTGGTGACTACAATAAATATTGAACTCTTTAATGCCAAGACACTGAAGAGTATCTACTAGCATCAGCACCATCCAGGAAGATGACCTCACCAAATAGGTGAAATAAGCCGCCTGTGACCATCTTGGAAAAAAAAGGGATGCATGACCTTTCAGACAGAAAATTCAAAATAGCGGTGCTAAGAAAACTCAAAGAAATTCAACATAACACAGAGAAGGAATTTAGAATTCTATCAGATAAATTTAACAAAGAGATTGAAGTAATTAAAAAGAAGCAGAAATTCTACAGCTGAAAAATGTAACTGGTATACTGAAGAATGCATCATAGTCCTTTAATAGCAGAATTGATCAAGCCAAAGAAATAATTAGTGAAGTTAAAGACAGGCTGTTTGAAAACTCACAGTAAGAGGAGACAAAAGAAAAAGTGATAAAAAACAATGAAGCACATCTATGAGATTTAGAAAAATAGCATCAAAAGGAAAAATCTAAGTTATTGGCCTCAAAGCTTCCCTTTGAGAGAAAGATATAGGGACAGAAAGTTTATCCAAAGGGATACTAATAGAGAGTTTCTCAAACCTAAAGAAAGAGATCAATATCCAAATACAAGGCTATCGAACACAAAGAAGGTTTAACCAAAAGAAGACTACCTCAACACATTTTATAATCAAACTCCGAAAGATCAAGGATACAGAAAGGACCCTAAAAGCACCAAGAGAAAAGAAACAAATTACATACAGTGGAGCTCCAATACATTTGACAGCAGACATTTCAGTGGAAAATTTACAGACCAGGAGAGAGGAGTGCGACATATTTAAAGTGTTGAAGGAAAAACAATCTATTATCCTAGAGTACTATATGCAGTGAAAATATTCTTCAAACATGAAGGAGAGATACTTTCCCAGCAAAGAAACAAACCACAACTTGATGGACTTCACAAACATCCAGGCTTGTCTCACAAAATGTTAAATGGATTTCTTCAATCTGAAAGAAAAAGGTGTTAACAAGCAATAAAATATCATCTGAAGGCAAAACACTCATTGGTAATAGAAAGTACACAAACACAGAATATTATAATATTGTAGTTGTATTGTGTAAGCTACTCATATCTTGAGTAGAAGAACTAAAAGGTGAATCTATCAAAAATAATAACTAAAACATTTTTTCGAAACATGGACAGTGTAATAAGATATAAATTGAACCAAGAAAAAGTTTAAAAGTAGAGGGAGAATGAAGTTAAAGTGTACACTTTTTATTAATTTTTTGTTGTTGTTTGTAAGTTTGTTTTCTAATTACTGTTAAGTTGTCATCACTTTAAAATAATGGGTTATAAGATGTTATTTGAAAGTATTAGAATAACTCCAAATCAAAAAACCTACGACAGATGCCCAAAAATTAAAAGGAAATAATTTAAACATACCGCTAGAATGTTTCACAAAAAGGAAGACAGGAAGGAAGGAAGAGAAGACCACAAAACAACCAGAAAACAAATAACCAAAATGGCAGAAGTCCTTACTGATTAATAATAATATTGAATGGAAATGGATTAAACTCTCCAGTCAAAAGATAGAATAGCTCAATAGCTCAAGACACACACATCATCCATAAGGACATGTATAGACTGAAAATAAAAAGATGGAAAAAAATATTCCATGCCAGTGGAAACCAAAAAAAAAAAAAAAAAAATGCAGGAGTAACTGTACTTACTTATATCAGAATAAACAGATTTCAAGACCAAAATAAAAAGGACAAAGAGGGACATTACATATGATAAAGGGGCCAATTCAGCAAGAGGATATAATAATTGCAAATACATATGCGCTCAACACTGGTGCACCTAGATATGTAAATAAAATATTAATAGAGCTAAAGGGAGAGGTGGATTCCAATACTCTAATAGCTGGAGACTTCAGCACCCCACTTTCAGCACTGGACAGATCATCTAGACAGAAAATCAACAAAGAAACATCAGACATACTCTGCACTGTAGACCAAATGGACCTAATAGATGTTTACAGAACACTTCATCCAATGGAGGAGGAATACACATTCTTCTCTTCAGCACATGGGTCATTCTCAAGGATAGATCATATGTTTTAGGCCACGAAACAAGTCTTAAAACATTGAAAATAATTGAAATCATATCAAGCGTCTTCTTTGACCATAATGAAATAAAACAAGAAGTCAAAAACAAGAGGAACCGGAACCGCCTTGACCAGTCCCCTGCCGCCGAGCTCCTGGGGCCGGCAAGGCGACACCATGGAGTGCCTGGATAAAGCAGCGCTGAACGCACTGCAGCCTCCGGAGTTCGGAAATGAAAGCTCATTAGCATTTACACTGAAGTCGCTCCTGTTCTTTACAGCTCTATTGATCACTCCTCCTACTGGATTATATTTCACAACTAAATCTTACATATTTGAAGGCGCCTTTTGGATGTCCAATGCGGACAGCTTTTATGCTGCTATTGTTGCAGTGTTGGCTGTCCATGTGGTGCTGGCCCTCTTTGTGTACCTCGCCTGGAATGAAGGCTCACGACAGTGGCGTGAAGGCAAACAGGATTAAAATGAACATTACCTTTTGATAGTATTAAATTGATTTTTTAAATGGTAAAGGCTGGAGTGGGAGACATCTGATTTGAATAAAATTGAAAGAACATATTCAAGTCAGTCTTAAGGAGTCATGTTTGAACAGTGTAAATTTTGATCCTTCTAATACATTGGTTTAATTCAGTTTTAACTGTATGACCCTCATTTGCAAATGAGAATTCGGAAAAGTTAAATTAGTTACAAATAAATATGTTAATTTAGTTACACATTATTCTGGAAGGAATTATAGCTTCTTTCAACAAAACGTGTTTTATAGTATTCTGACTTATGGTTGCTTTTGAGTTTTACTCCTTTGGATATATTAAGATGCACACAGTGAAGCAAATTAGACTCCACTTTACGCTGGAATGCTTTCCTTAGCATGAAAATACCAGGTCCTTGGATTTGGGATTTTAATTTCCTATGGAAAGTTGCTTAAATTGTGGACAATGGAATTAATCTGTGTGTCACTAAGGAATTTCACATGAAGTGTAATCCCTAGTCAATAGGAATTTTCCATTACATTATTTTATGGGAAAACTAGGCTAAATCATACCCATTCAGGTCAAAGGACTTTAGCTTACTGAAGGATCTAGAGAGCAAAGCAAAGATCTCACTATTCAAACACTCAGCCTGCTTCCTTCAAGTCCTCTTGCAGGCCAGCTTTGTGCTTTGCAGACCAACTTTTTAATGAGATACTTTGCTTCCTCATTCAGCATTGAAGCTAGGCTTCAATTAAAAGGTTTGAGGAAGCTTCATTTAAAATTGTTTTTCCTACTGTTTTTTTTTTTAAATTATAGTGTATATGATAGGAATTTGCATTTAAATATGTTCATTTTTGCATATGTTAGGTGTGGAAACAATCTTGAAAACATTATTTTTGTCACCCAAAAAGTATCCTCCTTGGGCATATCTGATGGCAAAAACCTTGACTTTATTTTTGTACATTTAGTCTGTGTTCTATCTAGCTATTTGGTACTAATTGTGTGCAATCTAAAACATTCCCTCAAATGTTTGTTTGTTTTATTATAAAACCATAATAAATGTTCTTTGTAGAAAACTGGAAAAAGAGATATTCAAACAAGAAAAAAAAAAATCAAAATTTCCCATAATGTTGCCTTCTAAAAATAAGCTCTATTTTAGTTTACATCCCATATGCATTTTTGAAAGCCATTTCTTAATGCTAGTTTGATACATACTAAAAGTTTAGTTTACAAGTTCAAATTTTGCCAGATTTTCCTGACAGCTATTTGCATTTTTTTCAGGTGAGTGATTATTGACCATTTTTTTCTTTTTTCCTATTTCCTTCCTTCCTTCCTTCCTTCCTTCCTTCCTTCTTTCCTTCCTTCCCTCCTTTCCTCCTTTCTTTCTTTTCTTGTCTCACTCTGTTGCCCGGGCTGGAGTGCAGTGGCATGATCTCAGCTCACAGCAACCTCCACCTCCTGGGTTGAAGTGATTCTCAGCCTCAGTCTCCTGTAGCTGGGACTACAGATGCCCCCCACTACACCCGGCTAATTTTTTTTTAAATATTTTTTAGTAGAGATGGGGGTTTCACCATGTTGGCCAGGCTGGTCTCGACCTCCTGACCCAGCCGCCTCAACCTCCCAAAGTGCTGGGATTACAGGTGTGAGCCACCACACCTGGCCTTATTGGCCATTTTCTAAATAAGCACATTCTGTCTTTATTCCCTTAAAGTTCAAATTTTCTCTTACTGCTAATCCTAATACTTAGGATTCTTGCTTAAGTATTTGAAACCATTACTGATTTCTTGTTCACATTTGTTATTTTTTATGTTGTGAAACTGGACTAAAGGAATAGAGGGATGATTAGTCATAAAAGTCAAATAGGCATTTGTGTTTAACTGTTGAGAAAAGTGAAAGATCAGTATGATTATTATGGAACTGTTTTTAATTCTTGCTTAAAGACTACAATTTTTATATAATGACATTTGAGTCTAGGGTAGTGTATGGTACATTTCTAGATGGTCCCTACTTAAGACATATTGTTGTATTTAGAATTGTCCATCTAATTTCTTTTTATATAATGCCAAGGTTTTTCTTGTGGTTTTGGGATCTAATGCTATTTGTAAAATATTACTGTCCAATGTTGAATTATTTTGTTTGGTTTCAGGCGTTTGCTGAATAGGTAATGATATATGGGTATTTTTCTGCAAGTATTTAAACCAGGGGCACATGCAAAGGCAGTTGTAATTTCCTCTTGGAAAATGCGCCAAGTGTTTCAAGGTTAAAATTGAATGCTAAGATTGATATTTAGGATTATTACAAAATAGACTTGCTTTCACAGCAGTTAGTTTTTTCCTAGAGTTTTAACTGTTAACTCACTAGTATGCTGCTGTTTTTAACTATGTTAAATAACATATAGTATTTAACAAATAGATTTATTTTTCAAGATGTCTCACTAGTTTCCTTTTACACAATGTATATACTTCAAGATGTATAGAAAGGAAAACTACAGTTAAGCCCTTATACATATGTTTTAAGGTAGAAATACGTTTCCTATTGTTTGAAAACTGATGGTAAGAATAACCTCAATTAGGAGGTATAACTTGAAGTGTCATCCCAGACTACTGATTTAACCCCATTTATGGTAACACATTACCTTCCTCACCTCCAGTTTTGTCCCCAAGAATGTAGTCCTTTTTGTCAGTTGTGTTGAAGAATGAAAAGTCTGCTGTAGAATGCGTCTGATGTCATTAGCTATTCAAATGGGTACCATTGTATATATAACAGTAAAATCTGGTTTTGTGTTATTAGCAAAAAAAATTTAAACCTGCCATTTAAAAAAAACCTATGTTTCATGGAAATGTAACAGAAATACATTATAATAATAGAACACCTTTTCTTTCTTTTTCTTTCTTCCTTTCCTTCCTTCCTTCCTTCCTTCCTTCCTTCCTTCCTTCCTTCCTTCCTTCCTTCTTTCTTTCTTTCTTCTTTCTTTCTCTTTCTTCTCTTTTCTTTCTTGACAGAGTTTCACTCTTCTTCCCCAAGCTGGAGTGCAAGGGCACAATCTCAGCTCACTTCAACCTCCACCTCCTGATTTCAAGCAATTCTGCTGCCTCAGCCTCCCAAGTAGCTGGGATGACACCACACCCAGCTAATTTTTGTATTTTTAGTAGAAACCGGGTTTTGCAATGTTAGCCAGGCTGGTCTCGAACTCCTGACCTCAGGCGATCCACCTGCCCTCCACCTCTCAAAGTGCTGGGATTACAGGCGTGAGCCACCATGCCCAGCCTAATAATTAGAACATTTTCATCATAAAAATCTCATCAGCTTTGCCAAAAGAAATAACTGATTGACGTGTTTGGTATTTGTTTTCCGTATTCATGTAAAGTTTGTGTATATAGTTAGAATACCCAAGGAGACCAGCAAAATCAGTAAAACAAATAGGGTGTATCCAGAGAAAGATGAAACCCAAAAGTACATAAAAAGGATTTCAATCCCATTTTAAATGTACCTAGTGTGTATTTCTTATCTCTAGACAAGTTCATGTTTATTGTTTAATTTGTGCCCAAGTGAAGTTGTAAACTTATAATTCAACTCTGATAGAGAATTTGTTATTTATCTAAGGTCAGTGGCAATTATCTCTGCTGTCAAACACTCTGTGTCACCCACCACATTAGTATAACTATTCATTCAGCCTCTACTCCTATGTTTAAGATAATTTTCACAAGAGCTGGCTGAAGCAACACATTAGTAACCTGACAAGATTTCTTTTTCTCTTTTCAGGGGGAAAGGGTTATCTTAAAAATAAATTATTTTCAGGGACTTTGGGAATCTAATGATAAATATTACACATAATCTATGACTAGCTTAATCCTTTATGTAGTCTTTAAAATAGGAATTCCTCGGCGTCGCTCCTGGCCACACTTTCCTTGCCTATGTTGTTGCTATGTGTATTTGAGAGTAATATCGGCATTCCTTTTAAGATGTTCTAAAAGTCATAGTTGTCAGTTATACAGAGTAGTCTTCCTTTTTCCCACGTTCAGTGTAGTCTCACTGAACAGTAATAATAGCAATAGCTAACATCTGCACAACACCTTACAGTTTGCAAAGAATGTTCACACATTCTCATTTCAGTTTTGCATAGTGAACCTGTTACGCGATGTCTCTTGATGTCGATGCTAAAAGTGTTAGAATCTTTATATCACTAGAGCCATTGAATATGCTGTAGTATTGAATAGTGCCCTGACTAGAAGGAGGATTTAGATGTGTTGCATTTCAAGCCATGTGTAATCATCAGAATGGGGGGCTTGTTTTCTTTGGCTACTTGAATCAGATTTACTTTTGCAAGTGATGCTTTTCTAACCGTTAGCTGGATGGATTCTGTATTCACTATATTGTAGCTGTAATTTGTATAAATTTACTATCTGTTGTCATTTTAAAAAGCGTTCATAATGCCAAAAAAATAAAAAGAGGAACTATGGAAACTATACAAACACATGAAAATTAAACAATATGGTGCTGAATGATCAGTGGGTCAAGGAGTAAACTAAGCAGGAAATTGAAAAAAATCATTGAAACAAATGATACGGGAAACATAATATGCCAAACCCAGGGGATACAGCAAAAGCAGTACTAAGAGGAATGTTTATAGCTATAAACACCTACATTTAAAAAGTAGAAAAACTTCCAGTAAGCAACCTAACAATTCATCCTAAAGAGCTAGAAAAGTAAGAGCAAACCTAGCCTAAAATTAGTAGAAGGAAACAAATAATAAAAATCAGAGCACAAATAAATGAGACTAAAATGAAAAAAACCCAAACATCAATAAAATGAAAAGTTGGTTTATCAAAGAAATTTTTTAAAATTGACAAAACTTAAGCCACACTAAGAATAAAAGAGAAAATACCCAAATAAATAAAATCAGAGATAAAAGGGGAGATATTACAACTGATACTGTAGAAATTCAAAGAATCATTAGAGACTTCTATGAAAAACTATATGTCAATAAGTTGGAAAACCTAGAAGAACTGGACAAATTCCTAGATATATATGACATAGCATTATGGAACCATGAAGAAATC